CAGGAATGCAGGCTCCTGACTCTGCTCTCTCTCTCTTTCCTGCAGGATAAAGATGAGACGCTACAAGCTCTTTCTCATGTTCTGTATGGCCGGCCTGTGCCTCATCTCCTTCCTGCACTTCTTTAAGACCCTGTCCTATGTCACCTTCCCCCGAGAACTGGCCTCCCTCAGTCCTAACCTCGTGTCCAGCTTCTTCTGGAACAATGCCCCCGTCACCCCCCAGGCTAGCCCGGAGCCTGGGAGCCCCGACCTGTTGCGTACCCCACTCTATTCCCACTCGCCCCTGCTCCAGCCACTGTCACCAAGCAAGGCCACCGAAGAACTCCACCGGATGGACTTTGTGTTGCCCGAGGACACCACCGAGTATTTCGTCCGCACCAAAGCAGGTGGTGTCTGCTTCAAACCAGGTACCAAGATGCTGGAGAAGCCCCCATCCGGGCGGCCAGAGGAGAAGGCAGATGCAGGCGACGGCTCATCCGCCAGGGGCCCGGCCCGGCACCTGCTGAGCAACCGTGAGCGCTCCGGGGGCCGGGGCGCCCGGCGCAAGTGGGTGGAGTGCGTGTGCCTCCCCGGCTGGCACGGGCCCAGCTGCGGCGTGCCCACCGTGGTGCAGTACTCCAACCTGCCCACCAAGGAACGCCTGGTGCCCAGGGAGGTGCCGCGGCGGGTCATCAACGCCATCAACATCAACCACGAGTTCGACTTGCTGGACGTGCGCTTCCACGAGCTGGGCGACGTGGTGGACGCCTTCGTGGTGTGCGAGTCCAACTTCACGGCCTACGGGGAGCCGCGGCCGCTCAAGTTCCGGGAGATGCTGACCAACGGCACGTTCGAGTACATCCGGCACAAGGTGCTTTACGTCTTCCTGGACCACTTTCCCCCCGGCGGGCGGCAGGACGGCTGGATCGCCGACGACTACCTGCGCACCTTCCTGACGCAGGACGGCGTGGCGCGTCTGCGCAACCTGCGGCCCGACGACGTCTTCATCATCGACGACGCCGACGAGATCCCCGCGCGCGACGGCGTGCTCTTCCTCAAGCTCTACGACGGCTGGACCGAGCCCTTCGCCTTCCACATGCGCAAGTCGCTCTACGGCTTCTTCTGGAAGCAGCCGGGCACCCTGGAGGTGGTGTCGGGCTGCACGGTGGACATGCTGCAGTCGGTGTACGGGCTGGACGGCATCCGCCTGCGCCGCCGCCAGTACTACACCATGCCCAGCTTCCGGCACTACGAGAACCGCACCGGCCACATCCTGGTGCAGTGGTCCCTGGGCAGCCCGCTGCACTTCGCCGGCTGGCACTGCTCCTGGTGCTTCACGCCCGAGGGCATCTACTTCAAGCTCGTGTCCGCCCAGAATGGCGACTTCCCCCGCTGGGGTGACTACGAGGACAAGCGGGACCTCAACTACATCCGGAGCTTGATCCGCACCGGGGGCTGGTTCGACGGCACGCAGCAGGAGTACCCGCCGGCCGACCCCAGCGAACACATGTATGCCCCTAAGTACCTGCTCCAGAACTACGACCAGTTCCGCTACCTGCTGGACAACCCTTACCAGGAGCCCAAGAGCACGGCGGAAGGTGGGCGGCGGAACAAAGGTCTTGAGGGGAGGCCGCCCGCCAGGGCCAAGTTGGAAGTGGTGGAAGGCTGAGGCGGCGTGATCTTACAGGGCCAGTGGCAGAGCGCAGGGCGGCTGCCCCCTTCTCTTACCTTCCTGCCTCCTTCCGCCCCCTGGGGGTTCTTAAGAGGACCAGGAGTAGGTGGGTGGGGGAGTCCTGCCCACTCAAACTTTTGTGAATCGTGGGGTCAGGCCTGTGAGCTTAAGAAAGATCCTTCCTGGTCAGGAGAGGGGAGCCTGGCCCCTCCACCCACCATGAGTGCTGTGGCCAGGAGGTGCCAGCGAGAGTGCATGATGGTTACTGGGTAGCAGGGGGGGCGGGCAGGGTGGGGAAGGGAGCTGCAGGAACTCTCAGAGTGGCCATGGGGGAGCTGTGGCCCCCTGGGGAGAAGCCTACTGATTGGCCTCCTGGGGTTTGGACCTGCAGCGGGAAGGGGGCATGCCAAGGTCCAGGGGCTCTGTAAATAGATACTTTTGGGTCCAGGAGGAAGAGGGGACACTAAGATAGGAGGCAATGAAAAACAGCATCCAGCTGGGAGGAAGCACAGTGTCCTCAGAAGTGCTGGGCCAGAGGAAGCTGAGAGCTCCACTCACCTGCCCCACAGGATCCCTGTGCTCCTCAGACCCGCCTGAGCTGACATAGGTGGGGGGCCCAATGAAGCCTGGGGAGTCTTCCTTTTAGTTCTGAACCTGGCCTTGATTTTCCTTCTTTTTATCTTGCTATCTTGTGGGCTGCCCACTCAGTCCCTGCAAGGCCAGGAGCCCAGTTCTCAGGGTGGGATGGAACCATCGGTCATCCTAGTAGTCAGACCTGGGGGCACCCCGTCACCCCTTCCCTCTGGGATCCACAACCCCAGCTCTCCATGGTCTCAGGTGGAGTTACCCTTGTGCCCTTCCTTGGTGCTGGCTAGGGGCCAGGAAGGGGACACAAGGCTGCCCTGAGCCCAAGAGGGACTTTAGGGCCAGTTGTATGTCATCTCATTCCTTTTAGTTTGCCTCATGGGGGCAGGAGATGTATTCATTAGAGTAGATGTATTTTAAGCTGCTGTAATTGAGATCCCGAAATACAGTGGTTTGAGCAAGACACAGCTTGTTTCTAACTTAATTGTCTCGAGGGAGATGGTCTGGATCGCGTAGGGCAGCTCTGCTTTCCTCTTACACACTTTCCAGTTCTGGTTAGAGTGGTTGCTCCAGCTCCCACCATCACATGTGCATCCAAGCCTAGGGGAAGCAGAGAAGGGCAAGCGAGCACACACCCTTTTCTGTTAAGGGCATGAGCCAGAGATAACGCAGTCATTCTGATCGTATCTTGCTAGCCAGGACTTGGTCACGTGGCCATAAGCAACTCAAGGGAAGCTGAGCTGCCACGTGCCCAGCTCGGGAGTTCTCTTATTAAAGGAAGAAAGAGAGGGTGGGTACAGGGACAAGGAGGAGCATCTCTGGCATAGGGGGAGGGAGAGATAGTAGAAATGAGTTTTGCAGTTGAAGGATCCTGCTCTCACCTTTGGAGCTCCTGGAAAACAACCTGTTCTGCCCCACTCACTGCCAGCCCAGGGCTGGGGTGCAGTGAGACCCTGCAGTTATGCGAAGGGTGAGATACCTACTCCCTGAGGCCCTATTGGATGCTCACCCAGTGATGCCAGGATGCAGAGGCTGCCTATAGAATGGTACATGTTTGTGCGTGTGTGTGTATTTATGGGCATGGGTGCATGCTTGTGTGTACTTGTACATGTCTGTGTCATTGTGTCCCTGTACATAGATGCTTGTGTGTGGATGTGGGAGCAGGGCCCAGGCCTCCCATTCCCCAGGACCTAGAGCCTGTGGCCACACCTTCTGCACCTCCCCAAAATGACTGAGGCAGGAAGCCCTTGGGGAGCCTGGAAAGCAAGGTTAATGGGGATGCGGGGTCCATCTGTCTGTCTGTCTTTCAGTCCAAAGGATGAGAATCCTGACCTGAGGGCTGTACAGCTGAGAGCCCACTACCTCCCAGACACATCCTTCTACCTTGTGCCCTTCAGCCTTCAGCAGGGACTTTCTCTGGGTGTCTCCTGATGGGCCAGAAGAGGAGGGTGTCCCCTTTGCCACAAGCTGTCTGGGCAAATGCCTGGTGTGGGCATTGTCTGGGGAGCTGGCTGAGGAGCAGCCTCTGGTGGGCAGGCATGAAGCAGGCTGAGGGCGCTCTATTGCCCCCATTCTCTGTCTAGAGGGTGCCCCAAGGGAACCCCACCCTTGGAGTTATAGCAACCCCCCTCTCTGGTCCCTGTTGGGGCTGAGAAATGGCTCGAGAGGTCAGCCACCACTGTTCATCCCTGGATGGGCAGTCTCTGAGGGGCTCCTGAATTGTGCCTGAGCCCAGCCCAGGGCCTCCGTCCTTGCTGGCTTCCTTACCTCATGCCCCTGGCACCCTCCTGCTGCTTCCCAAGCTGGCCTCCAGTTCGCCAGCTCAGGGGCGGGGGAAGGAAAAAGGCAGGAGCTCAGACCTGCCAAGCCCCACACCCAGGAGGGCATGTTCATGGTCACTGACAAGTGGAGGCCTGGCCATTGGGTGGAGATGACAGCTATCAGAGGTGGGGGGGGGGCCAAGGCACGGAGTTGAAGAGTTTCACATAATCACACCATACACTGGGAATTTGGGGGGGGCATGGAAGCCCTGAGCCACTCCCCCAATATGAAGGTAAACCAAACTGTGAATGTGAATGCTGGTGCACCACTGGCCCTGTCACCATATCCAGATTCCTTTTCCTGGGAACACCAGCCTTATGACCTGTAGACTCAAGGAGGCCCAGCTTACCCACGGGTCACATCGGTTCCCAGGGGCAGGCGTGGGAGAGCTTTGGGGGCAAAGTGACAGTTGAGGTGGGAGACAGGACTTGCCCAAGCAGAAGGCAGGGCCCTGGGAAATGTATAATTTAAGGACACCAATAATAATAGTATTATTTTTTTTGTAAGGGAAAATCAATATGTACATTCTGAAATCATTTTCTCTGTAAATGGTTGGATTTCATTTCACCCTTAAAGGGATGCTTAAAGGAGAAGATAATATTAATAATAAAAACAGCTACAAAGTCTGCAGGGTTTGCGTGTGTGACTGATTTGGGGTGCTCTGGGGTGGGGCAGGGAGGGGTGCGAGTGAGTGGTTTGGTCTTGCTCAAGCCACTCTCACTATCGAGTGCTGGGTCAATGGAGTGTCAACCTTCCCCACAACCGGAGGGCTGGTATGGATGGGGTGCAGTTACCTCCACCAGCACCAGGGGGCATCCTTCCTTCCCACCGGTGGAAACGTGCTTGGAAAGGGAAGGTACTGGACTGGACTGGACTGGCATCTGGGGAAGGAGAAACGGGAATGGGAATGGCAACACCCATCCTCCCCAGTCGGGCGGGAAGCTCCCTGGGGATCCAGATGAAGGCCTTGGTGCCTCTGCCACGAGGGGAGCAATTCTCCTACAGCTGTGCTCTTGGGGCATCGAGACCAACATGCCCGCCTTGGTTGTTTCCTCCCTGTACCCATCATGTCCTAAGGTCACACAGCCATTTGATGGGAGAACAGGGTTGGGCTGGACCTGGATTTACAGCACGGGTCCTGTCACCAACCCTCTGGGGCAGGTGAGGACGGCAGGCTCCAGCAATGGTCATCTCTCTCCCGTGGAGCTGACTTTGGACTTATGCCGTGATGACACCTGGGGCCCTGGAATGTGGGGGGCTTCCCGGAGGCTTTCTTGGAGATCCATGGATACTGGCATTGTCCTGGGAAGAGGACGTTCTGGATATTTTCTAAGGCGAGTCTCAGAGATGGTGGGAGTGGGCGCTTGAACTTGCCTTGGTCCCCCGTGGTATGGCTGTGCAGGCTCTGTAGGGAAGCTGAGGACAGACGGGAATGAGCAACCACAGTGCTGGTGGACAGCAGGGGCTGATGTCTCCTGGGCACCCAGAAGGTGCCAAGCACTTTATATACAGTTGATGAAAATAGGAAGAAGACACAACATTCTTGTGATTTGTAGGAGACAGAGAATTTCCTAATTCCAGTTTACCAGTTCACCGTGACCACTTCTCGGGGCAGAGGCTTGGGGGTGCTCAGTTCTATAAAGCTCTTAAAGGGTCCCCTTGATTGCCAGCACTTAAAGCAATCTGATTAGGATGCTTAGGAAGCAATTTTGTTTTTGTAAATAGAGTTCGTCTCTCAGGAAGCGCGCATGCTGATGCAGTTAAGCACGTGACCCCGACTGGTGACAATTAGTCCTTCTGTTCTGACATGCACCTGTCCCACCCACCATATCCGTGCCACCCCTTTTGCCACTACTTGCCTTTCAACTCAATCTTACACTCAATTACTGACTGTCTACTGGACAACAGGCCTGAGGAAGATGTAGAAACAGACGAGACATTTCCTGCCCCCTAGGAGCTCAAAACTGATTGAGAGTAGGACAGGCTCTGCCAGGCGGTGTCGTCAATACCCTTAGAGGTTACCTCAGTGCTACTGATGTTGGGGCCAGATGATTCTTTGGTGGGGGGCTGTACTATGCATCGTAGGGTGTTTAACAGCATCCCTGGCCTCCACCCACTAGAAGCCAGTAGCATCCGCTCCCCCAAGTGTGGCAGTCAGCCATGTCTCCAGACATTACTAAATGTCCCCTGGGGTGCAAAATCACCCAGGTTAAGAAGCACAGGAGTAGGGATACACAACTGTACACAGTTGAGCATCTACTGTGTACACGCTGGGCACTTTGCACACATTACCTCCTGTAATCCTATACGGTAGATGGTAGTAGTTATTGGAGGCTCAGCTTGTCTCCTGTGGAATTTAATGGTATTTGGGGAGAAAGGGAGGTTCCTCCCACTTTTCCAACCTGAGAGATTGGAGGTGGGGAGACTAGGATTTAGAGGGATTAAGGGGAGAAATTGCTCAAATGCACACAGCTCCCAGGCAGGATTTAGGACCAGGGTCTCCGCCACCCTTCTCACGGTGCTGCACTGCCTCCTCGTGGAGGGCGAGGCACGTCGGCCACCGGCAGCCACGCTTCCCACATCTCCTTTCCTCCCTCTGTCTTTCTTCTCACTGAGTGCCACAGCAGACTTGAGGCAGCTTGTACAAACGCATGCCGCAGATTGGAAAAGCAAATGGACAAGAATTAGAATCACGGAAAATTCTAGTTAGAAAAGAAAACCAAGCCCAGAAAACACACGAAATGATGACTGCGATGCCAGGGGAACATCGAAGTGTTGAGGGCACACAGAGGAAAGGGGCACGTTCTCTTCTCCGCTTTTACAGATGGATGAAGAAATGAAGTTTCTCGAATCTGCACGGGAGGTGGCAGCGCTTTGAGGTGAGCACGGACGGAGCACACTTCGGGCGCATCGGTCTTGTCGCCAGGGCGTGTCTTCCTCAGTTTCGTGTCCCCACCACTCTGCCCAGGGACCAGCAGCGCTCACTGAATCCTGCTGCGTGGTACTGACATGACGTGCACATAATAGCTCACGCTTCCTTCGGCAACTTGTCCCCAGACCTCCAACCTGTGTTATTAGTGGTAGCAATAGATGTGGATATCCACCCCACCAGCGTGTCCCCAAACAGTTGGGTCCCAAAGACCGCTGCGCCCTGCCAGACCAGGGCAGCCACCTTTCATGCTGGGGTCCACTCACCCCCTCCATCTCGCCGAGGGCAGAGGCTCACCCGCTTGTGCATCAGTAGGAGGCTGTGCCAGGCAGTGTCATCCACACCTTTAGAAGTTACTGAGCGAAGTCAGGGACAGTTTTGGGTTCTGCCTCGCTGATCTGATAAGAGGGGCCTTAGGCCTATTTCCTGTTGCCCGCTCTTCTGGCTCACTAGGCAATCCCTCCTCTGACCACCCAACATGGGAAGGCCATGAAAATGGCTTTCCCACTGCGGAGCCCGTGCGAGAGGAGAGGGCTCCTTGCATTCTCCGGCCCGCACCCGGCCTGTGGGGTGCCGGGACGCCCAGGGGAGAGAAGGCTATTATGCTAGCAACAGAGCATGAGGGCATCGGTGGATCAAGTTTTAAGACTCAAAGGACAAAGAACACGTACAGACATCACAACTTGTCATCTAAACCACACTCAGGGGCCTTCTCAGCTCTGCTCATCTTCTGAACCATATCTTATCTTCATTACTGCCCTTGTGCAGTGTGCAACGTGAACCACCACGCCCAGCAGCCCTGCCTCTACATGCTGCTTCTGATCCTATCACTACCCAACTTTAAAACAGTCTATGGCTCCCCATCGCCTACAGTGCTAAGTCACCCTGCTACCCTATCATGCTACCTTGTGCCATCTCCTTGGACTGGAACAGACACCTGACTCGAAGGCAGCAAATTCACCTGCCGAGTGGTCAGCACTGTCCGTGACATGGCCCGGTTTGAAGAGGTGAGCTGGGTCGATCAGAGGAAGAGAGTTGGAAAGGGGGCGAATGCAGCAGGTGCATAGAGAAGCAGCCACGAGAGACCAGCTTCCGGTACCTGGTTTGGTGGCTCCTTAGGACAGAGCTCTGACCCATGAACTAAGTAACCCTTTCAGAGCTCTGCGTTGGGGGCGGTCGCACTGACCCAGAAGTCAGCAAATTCAAAGTAGTCACAATATTTTGAAGACCCGAAGATGGGATCCTCAAATACAGTATTTGATAAAAGTGGCTTTTCATGGTATTATATGTGGTAAAAGTGGCTTCACGTGGCTTTGGGAGAAAGGATTATTTCATAAAAATCCAACAGCCATTTAGAAAAAAAAAGACTGATTACAATCCTTCTCTCACTCCTTACACCAAAAAGTGAAGTCCGGATAAATATACCAAAGATACAAAAATTTTAAAAAGTACAATTTGACCGGTCTTTTTTCTCTCTGAGCAGGAGTGTGTGTGCCTGTGTATGAGCTGGGGCCGGCAGGGAGGGGTTGAGCTGGATAAACTCTCAGGTCTCTAACAGCTGTGACAGCTGCCATTCATTACATCTTGACCCTAAGCCCAGCGACCCCCTAAGCCCACCATACCTACATTTGCTTCCTATAACACTTTCTCCTTGGCCGGAATATTGTCAGCTCTCATCTCTTTATCCCTGCATTATTTTCTTCTGGAACTTCAAGCAGATGGGTTGGGAGCCCTGCAGGTTCCAGCACCCCCTCAAGAGTCCAGCTCCCAGGCTGCATCGCACCAAGGGCTTCGGGTTCAGTGTTTTTCCTGAGCTATGGCGGTTTTTACCTTGAACTTGAGTCCAAGTCCAAAATGAGCTATGCTATTTTAGTTTTCTTTCTATATTTTAAAGTTCAGTGCTTTGTGATGGGAGCTGAGAAGATATGTCACAGAGCGTACTCATTGTGACTCTGGTGAGCAGTCAGGCTTTCTCTTCGATTCCTTTTCCTTCCCGTGTAGGATGAGAAACCCTCACGAGACCTGACAGACTCAGCAGACTACAGAAGCCCAACAGGTAATGGAAAGGAGCGAGAACCCATGGATAAAACAATAGGGAGTGGTGGGGTCTGGGGTGAGCTGGGGAGCTCGCACTCTGTCCAAAGGTGGTGGCTGTTCCCCAGCATAGTTGGAGACTCCAGCACTGCCAGATCTTCTGAATATCTAAGCGAGCCTCAAAAACCGTTTTTTTTTTTCCTAATTGTTTGGGATTTACAAAGCTCTTTATGGAGCAAGAAAAACACTTCTTTGTCCAGTCCAGCATGTAGTCCTCCAGTTTGTTCCTTGAGGATGAAGAGGTGGAGGCTGTTATCAGCCTGAATGGTGCCGCCTCATCTGTAAAATGGGTACGTTGATACCCAGCCGTCACAGGATCGTAGTAGGAATCAATGAGGATAAAGAATGCAAGAGGAAACCAAGTAACGGTCACTGAGCGATTACTCTGGGCTGGGCACTGTACTCAGCCTTCCTACCCTTCTAAGTCTGAAACTCACGGAGGTTGCACAGGTGGGAAGTGGAGATGCTGGCATCTGAGCCTGCGCATCTGCTAATCCTTGGCTCCCAACTCCTGCTGTCTGGCAAAGGAAGGGTATTCAACAAACAAGCTTACATTCCCTTCTTCCTTTTCAACATCCCCTGGCACGACGTGGGCAGCAAAGATTTCACTCACTTGAAATCTCACTCCTGTCCAGGGATATCAGATTTTAGTCTGGCAAATACAAGATCGATACATCTGATTACGGCAACTCCCATTATGAGGGAGGCGCCTCTCTCTGAGAATGATTTCCAGATCCCTGGCCGGCTTACATTCCAGTGCTTGGCTGATCCAGTTACAGCCAACTTCTCCATCAGCCAGGTAATTATAGGGTCTGTACTCTCATTCCACTTGGGGCCTCCCCAGGGAGGGCTGGGGAGGTGGAGGTGGGCTGGACTGAGCTTTCTGTCTTGTCATCTGGTAGCAATTTCCCTCTAATTCAGGGCAACAAACATTTATAGAGGGTCTCAATTTTATAGGGCATCCTACTGGGCAAAGTAAAGGGGCTGAGACTGGTAAAATGCAGACCGCAGGGCACTCGCCTTCTCTGCCTTCTGGAGGGCAGCCTGAGGCCTCCCTGCCCTTCTCCCTCACAGATAAAGGGGCACCTGGCCCGCTCTCTCACTCTCCCCTCCATCTCTTCTGTGACCTCACTCATGGGATGGCGCCTTCCTTCCCCTCCCCAGGGCTAGAACAAGTACCAGTCAATCCCCAAACCCCAGCCAACCCAACCCAACACAATCCCTCAAACTATTTTCCCCTTGAAATATCCTCTCATCTCGCCCTCTCTCTTCTCTGCAAAATCACTGTCTCCTTCCCACTTCCCATTTACTCTTCAATCCTTGTCCTCACAGGGCTGCGATGGCAGGGGCTGGTATATGCGAGTGCTGGCACATATAAAGAGCTCAATGAGTCTTAGCTCTTACTGTCCACTGATGACTCTCTCAAGGGACACTGCAGTGGCCTGGGGACTGATCTCCTGCAAGTCTCAGCTCACCAGTCTAGTCCCTATAAAGCGGTCTGGCTTCTCTTTCCAAGATGCACGTCTGATCACAGCGGGGACTTCCCGCTGCTGTTGGATCAGGGCCAAATTCCCCGCTGTGGTCTGCTGGGCCCTGCCTTTCTCACCAGTCTCGTCATGGGCCTCTTTTCTTGAATTCTCTGGGCTCCAGTCTTTGAAGTCTTCAATGGGCCATGACCCCATCCTCTGCTTGGACTACTCCTGCTCCTGTTCCACCACCTGGTGAGCTCCCTAAGACCTCAGCCATCGTTATAATTCTCATTGCAGAAATCCACTTGACTTGCTTATCTCTCCCCCATGTTAGTGAGCATGAGTCTACTTCAAGGCCTGATTGCTTAGGTACTTTAATGAATCCCCATTTCCAAGTATGGAAACCAAGGCCCAGCGAGGTTGAGAACCTTGTTGAAGGTTCTCCAGCCTCCAGCCATCGGGAAGCAGAGCTGGGATTCAAACCTAGGACTGACTCCAGACTGACGGTGCCGGTGCGTTAGCCTGAAGCACGCCTTGCTGGCTATCGCTTCCTCCCTGGGCTACCTCAGGATGCTCGCCTGTCCAGCCTCATGTCTCACCCTGGCGCCTCCACGCCTGTGCTAAAGCCGGGTGGTGCCCGCCGCCCTACACTGGGTCACAGGCTCTTCTGGTTCCCACAGCACCTGCGAAGGCTTCTCTCCTAGAACCTATCTGTGCACTTGTCTGTCCCCTCCCTCGACTCTGGTCTTCTTGAGGACAGGAACTGTGTGTTTTATTTCTCCATTTCTGCCTCTAGTCCTGGCTCATACTAGGTGCTTGCGAAATAGTGAACGAGTGACTGACTACTTGGTTAATACATTGGGAACGATGTATTGGTTCTCGTGGGTCATTCAGCAAAAATGTTTTGTCCATTTTTGTGTAATTCACAGATGAAGAAACCGAGGCACCCAAAGCTTAAATCATTCGCCCTAAGCTTACCACAACCCCTTTCAAATTAGACTGGACTTGACCAGCCTGACTCAGGGGAAATGATCCATTTCTCCCAAGCCCTCTATCTTTCTGGAAAATGTTAATTAATTAATTAACTCCATAATTTAATGCCTACTATGTATGAGTCACTGTTCTGTTGAACAAGTACTTCCCTCTTACCCTTGAAGCCATTGCCATCATCCACATGTGAGACCAGGGATGACGTCAAAACTGCAACATCGATCAGAGAGATCCCAGAAGGCCCCTAGTCTTGACAAACCTGGCAGAGCCTTGAGCTTTGGGTCCCTGCCCTTTGCTGGGGTCTGGGCCTACAAAGTCTCCGCTGATCCATGTGGGAGCCAGAAGCCTGCCCCAGTGCCCTTTCCTCCTCTGTCCCCTGTTGCCATTGAAGCATTGGAAGCAGGAGGAGCCTTGTGATTCCGGAAGTAAAGAGAAAACCCTGGAAAGCAAGAAGAGTCTGGGGGAGCTGACCTGAAGGGCAGATCCCCAAGGGACCTCCCTCCTTTCTTCCTAAAAATAATATTTTATAGAACAGCAGGGTCAAGAGGGATACGAAAGGTCACCGGGGCTTCCGGCTGGAACTGTCGCCATTTAGATTTTTTTGGGTCACGAAATTATTTCTTTAAAGAGCAAAGTAGGGCAGCCTAGAAGAGTGACAGGAACGCATTTCATTTTGGAGTTAGATACACTCCGATTCCACTGCAAGCTTCTCCGCTGTCTAGCTCAATGTCTTAGAGAAATTATCCAGTCTCTCTCGGTCTTGTTTTTCTCATCTATAAAATCAGATAGGGGCTCAGACCAGGGAGGTGACAGTGAGGAGAGGAATGGTCAGATCCTGGAAGTATTTGGGGGTAGAGCCACCAGAAGACTAAGACTTGATCTCTGTTCCCTGCAATGACCATGGCAGTGCTTTGCACATTAGAGCCCTTCAAGGATTTGTCGCATCCAAGGATTTGTTGAATGGATGGGCGACTACTCCATAAATCCCCACTACTCTTGCTAGGTACATTTTAATCCTCACAACAGTCCCAGGCTGAGAGAGATTAGGAAACTTGCCAGAGGGCAGCTGTCCTCAAGTGGTGGAACTAAAATTGGGAGCCAACTGTGCCTGACTCCAAAGCCCAATGTTACTTAGCTTCACTCAACGCTGGGCACCCAGGGAGGCATAGGGGGGAGGGGCCTTACAGCCTCAGTAAGACATGGCTCCTGCCCTCAAATCTGGTGAGAGACAGAGAAACCAGTATACAAATTTAAAAGCAGTGTCTGGCGAATAACAGGTGCCAATAAATACGTTTTATCTTCGACTGGCTTAAGAGTCTTAACATTTTGCAGGTATTTCTGTGGGGCCCAAAGGAGGCACCTAAGTTTGTTGGATGAAGGGCAAGGAAGAGACTGGAAAAGACTTCAGGAGGCGACATTTTGGGTGGACCTTGAAGAATAGGAGTTTGCCAAAAGCCAAGAGGCTTGGGAACCTGGAACAGCATGAAAGAATGAAAAGAAAGCTATCTGAGAAAATGGGCTTGGAAGAGTTTTGAAAAGTCACGGTGGGGAATATTATTAGTGTTAGTATTACCCCAGGTACCCCATGGCGCCAGCCCGAGATCAGCAGACTAGAGTGTCTGGCTTGACCCCTCGCCACGGGTCTGGCAGCCGACGCCCCGCTCCGCATTCTCGCACTCTCCAGGTTTGTGTTCACCTCACCTCAGCCCTCCAGGGGGCGGGGCCTGAACGCTCTCTTAAGGACCATCCCTAGGTGACGTCACTGCAGAGGCGGGGCTCAGGACTGTGGGCAGGGCCCGCTCTAGGGGGCGTGGCCCCACGAAGCTAGTAGCCCCGCCCCAAGAGAGGCCTTGGCCGGAAGTCCTCCCGCCTCCGCTCGCCTCCATGCTCCCTTCAGTCCCTCCTCTTAACTCCGCGCACAAGGTCATGTCCCGGAAGTGAAGGGGCCATGTTGATGGGTGACCCCGGGATAGGTACCCGGCGAGAGGCGAATCCGAAGAAGTGGTAGCGCGCAGTCCGTGGGTGAGTGAGGGGAGGAATAAGGGCCTGTGGCCGGGGGTTGGGGCTCACTGAGCCTCCTCTCCGGGCTACGGCCGGCGCCTGCCATCCGACCCGGGGCTCCCGGCCGGAACTACCGGCCTGGCCGCCGAGGGTCTCACCCTAGTACTCCCTGGACATTTTCTTGCAAGGCCGCTCCGTGACTCCGCCCCAGACTCCAGAGGCCTCCCGGGGCCCCCGAGCTGACCTGTCCCAGGCTCGGGGTCTGTCCACCGCGACTCGGCCCGGCCTCCCCCAGGGTCCAGGGAGGAATTGGGGACCCGTAGGGGCTCAGCCGCCAACTCACCGAGAGACCTTGTAGTAACAGCCCTCGCGTGACTGTCGCCTCCTACCTCATAAAGCACTTTTTCTGTTAATTTTCCGGATTTATCTCTCCTACTCCGGGAGGCCCTTGGGGCCGAGCGGAGCTGTAATACAATTGAAGAAAAAGGGACAGGGACGGGACAGTGGCTTGCTCAAGTTCGCACAGGAAGTTAGCAAGGCCAGAGGCTGATGACTAGCTGACTTCGAGCCCACAGTACAGATCACTTTACCAGTCCAGTACCTACCCTACTTAGTCTCATTCCTTTATTTCTGAAACCGGAGTGATCCTTTCTTCCAGATAGGACGTGAGGATTCGCTTTTTCATTCAGCTTATTTTTTGAGTTCCTGGTATTTGACAGGCGCTGTGCTGGGAAAGTTTGTAGAGCACCCAGAAGTGGCCGTACACATGGTAAGGCCCCAGCAAGTGGTATCTATTCTTACAGAGGCAGTCAAAATTGGGGTCAGGAGTTCAGCCCTCCTTTACAGTTGTGTGACATGGGCAAGTGACTTCCCAAAGGGGGGCTAATGACGGCACTGAGATTTTCAACAGAATGAGATGAGTTGTTATGTGGGACTTGCGTGGTATATTGTAAACAGTGTTCAGTATTGTTCTTACGAGCCTTGACCACTTTGTAGGTTCTGTACTTGTGTAAGCTTTTATTGTTACTACAGGAGGATGGTAGCAGTTTATGTGGAACTAAATTTAATATTTATTGAGCACTTACAAACCGTGCTAGGTGGCACTAATAAGACCTATTCCAGATAGAGTGCTTAGTATGTGCCAAGTGCTGTTCTAAACATGTTCATATACATTAACTCATTTAATCCTTATGCCAACCATATGGGCAGAATACAGTTTTAATCCTCATTTTACAGATGAGAAACTGAGGTAAGCACCGAGGGGTTAAGAAACTTGCCCAAAGTAATCAGCTCATTAGTGGTGGTGCCAGGATTCGAATATGGCTGAGAGTCTTTGTCTGTCAGCCACTCTAGACCACCCCTTGTGGGGAAATTCTGTTTTAGGTGCTTTATGTGCATCATCTCACACAGTTCTCAAAATAACCCTGTGTAGTAGGTAATGTTAACTGAATATCTCCATTTTACAAGTGAAGTAGCTGATGCTTAGAGGGATAAGTACTTTGCCCAAAGTCATTATGGCAGGCAAGTGGGAACGAAGCCCAGGCAGTACAGCTTCCAAGCCCTGGCCCTTGTACTTTCTCGAAAGGGGGGCGATGAAGAGGTTGGGGTCTCTGAGACCTAGAATAAGAATTTTAGATAGTCTTTATAGGCCCTTTTGTCACTAATTCTGATTCTAGGCTTCTGTTTTTTTTTTCCCTTCTGCTTATAGCTTGACACCCGGCCCCTGCCAGTCCCCCATGGCCCCATGGAGCCGAGAGGCGGTGCTGAGTCTCTACCGGGCTCTGCTGCGCCAGGGCCGAGAGCTTCGTTACACTGATCGGGACTTCTACCTTGCCTCCATCCGTCGTGAGTTCCGGAAAAATCAGAAGCTAGAGGATCCTGAGGCCCGGGAGAGACAGCTGGAAAAGGGCCTGGTCTTCCTCCACAGCAAACTGGGGGGGATCATTTAGGATCCTCTCCATCCTAATTCCAAGGAAAAGAAGACAGAGGTGCCTTCTGTACACACTCCCACTCTCTCCCACCCCCACCTCACAGATGCAGTAAGAAGCCTCAGGTAGGTAGACCCTTGTACCTATAGGTTTCATTTCCAATTCAGGGGACCAGGAGAGGGAGACCCTTTTAGCGACCAAAGTCCTTTAGTCATTGGAAATCAGTGGAGGAACCATAGACATATTAACAGAAGTATGTTCCCTTATTGTGTTTCAAGCCCCTCCAGAACAGGATTGTTATCACCATCTTATTTCAAATAGAGCATTTTACACATGAAAATGTTAGAAAAGACGTTTCGGTTCCAGGCCGGCTCATTCCTCAGTGCATTTCGTTATCTTGTGGGTCAGATCACGTTCCCCACAACATAACTACACTGTTACAACACAATCTGTAAAGCAAAGTATAGCGTACAGATGTCAGAGGACGTTGTCTGGTCCTGTTGCTAATAGCTGTGGGATTTAGGGCAGATCACTAAACCTTTCCAGGCCTCTTTCCTCATTTGTAAAATGGAGGTAATAGTACCTACCTCTTCAGGTTATTATGAGAATCAAATGAGACAGTGCACCTTGTAGTGGTACTTGGCGAGTGCCATTTAGCTGTGTGTACTCCTGGCAGTCCTGTAGGCTCTGGGTTAGAGATGAATGATGTGGCTTATCAAGGGACTCAATCTTACGCAGAGATCAGTGGGAAGTAATACCAGTGTGGGCAGCTCTGTGTTAGGGCCAGGTACAGAGCTCAGAGACAGATGAGAACCTAGCTGCCTTGGGTAGGTGATGGTAGGGAGAATCATAGGTAGCTATAGAAAAAGGCAGACCTCAAATGAAAAATAGAAGCTCGCTGGGCAGCCGGACAAGAACAAGCAAGTGTGGAGGTGAAAGCTGTACTTTGTAGTCTGGAAACTTGAGTCTGGTGTGGCTAGAATGGCGCACCTGTAAGGCAGACGGCTGGAGCTGAGTGGGGCCAGGTACGGAAGGACATTGAATACTCTACTGAGGTTGTGACATCTGATAGTGAGGGGACTATCACAGCTTTGCGAGTGGGGGAATGACGTGGGAGACGGATCATGGCAGTGATAGTGTGGAGAATAAACCGGTGAGAGATACTAGAGACAGTGAATCCGGCCAGATGAGACCGAGGGACTGAGGTGGTGGGGTGGCCGCCCATAAACACAGCATGTACGGCAGTGAGATTTGGCGACCAGTTGGCTGAGGCTGGCAGAAGAGAAGAATGAAGGATAACTGAGGCGGAAGGCTTGCCAACCGGGTGGAGGGTGCTGTTTTTAACTGCAAGAGAGAAAGCAGGAGGAGGAGCCTTACATAATGGCTTGTGCTTCTCCTCAGCCACTCAGGGTGATTGGCAGACCCGCCTTTGCAGTGTAGGACTGGGGTGGGTTGTGGCCCAGGGGTGCCTGCCCGCACAGAGAAGGGCAGTGGGTCTGGAAGTGAAATAGTGACTTACTGGGTCTTTGTGTTCCAATCTGTTTTGACTGTGAGTTGGGTTACAGGTTGCCACCACCACCTCTGTGTATCAAACACTGCTGGCCCTGGGGACACAGCAGTGAATGAGCCAAAATGCCCAAGAAGCTCATGGTCTAGTGTTTAATAGAGAAGAAAGGTGAATGAGGTCAGGGTGCAGACTACTTAGGATCCCTGTAAACTATTTCTTCCCAGCAGCGTGAGCTCTAGGTTCAAATTGACTACACAACTTACTGATGTGGTGGCTCTGGGCCAGTTACTTAACCTTTGCCTCAGTTTCTTCTGTAACTGGGGGACAGCAATACGACAGACCTCATGGGATTGTTGTTGTGAGGATTAGGGGAATTAATATTGTGTAAAATGTCCAGTACGTGGTACACACTCAGTATACGTTAGCTAGTCTCATGTGTAGTCAAGCCAGACATGTTTAAGTCACGTGACTTTTTAAAATAACATAACATGGAATTTTCATAGTTCTGTGCTGTCACTTGAGGTGCTGCAGGCCCCGTGTTACTCATCACCCCTACTATATTGGGGTAATGAGTATTTCTATTCCCATTTTTATATTTAAGGAGACATTAAATACGTTGCCTGAAATGTTGGCAACGCTCAGATTCTCCATTCCCCACCCTGCCACCAGGTCAATGTTCCTTCTTTTAAATATTTTAACCATCTTTTAGTGTACAATTCAGTAGTGTTAAGAATATTCACATTGTTGAATAACTATGTACACTTGGAATTAAAATAATACTGTATGTTAGCTATATTTTAATAAAAACATTTTTAAAGAAAAAAAGAATATTCATTGTTCACCTGAAACTAATATAAAATAATATTGAATGTCAACTGTAATTGGAAAAAAGGGGGAAAAAAAGAAAATTCACATTGTTGTATAACACATCTCCAGAACTATTTTATCTCGTAAAACTAACTACGTGGTTAAACAACAGTGCTCCTTCGCGGTTGCACCGAGGGCCCAGGCCCCTTTCCCCTTGCCAAGTGCAGATCCTGTCTCCTGCTAGGCTCCAGGGCGGTGCCGCGGAACCTGAGTGGCGGGCGGACAGTGCATAAGCACTTTCAGACGGAACGAGCTACGTTTTAAAATAGGAACTTTTATCTCCCTGTCGGAGCTCGTGGATGCTCTCCTCTCCCAGGTCACCAGGTCTTTCACGTCACCTGGTCCTTGGAGGGGGAGGAGCACATTGCACGGAAGAGAGTAGGAAAAGCCTTTTCACAAGCCTATTCAACTTAGCAGTTTGGGTCTCAAGCCCAGGATAACATCAGCGTGACTTTTAGAGGCCGTTCTTAGCTCCATCTCAGAAGGTCGGATGTAACTCAGGACAGTCTGGATTGCTCACTGCCTTCTGGAACTTGACCTTTTCTCCTGTAGGTAGAAATTTTAAAAGATTTTGTGACAGCCCACATTTGTGGAGTAGTTTTACAGTTTATAGTGTGCACATACAATATTTTAGTAGATGTATTTTCCTCACTACTACCCTATGATTTAGGTCACGTAGGCATCATTATCTCCTTTTCATAGCTGAGGGGTTAAGTAACTCATTTGAGGTCACCCAGCCAATAAGTCAGGGTTCAAAGGCAAGTTGTCAGTCTCAAGATTTCTGACTTGAAAACGCAGACTCTTTTCTAGTCTGCCACATCACCGCCTTGCTCTTACCAGTCATCAGATGGGCCAAGGACTAAATGGCCCAGGGAGGTTCCCTGTGGCTTCTGCTCGGAAGGAGGATGTGCCCTTCTGGGCCATTGCATCACATCCGAGGATCATTTAGAGGGTGCCTGCATCCCGTGGTTCTCCCTGTTGTAATAAAAATTATGTCAGTAAAGGTTCTTTTGTTTAAATAAAACAGTGGTCATTGTTATGTGTGGGAACCATGTAACATTCTGCATGATCCTGATTGGGTTACTCTGTCCCATCTCTGTCTCAGTGGCTACTGGAGAGAGAATGCCTAGCGTTTTTGCGTGACTCCACCAGAGTTGAATTCTTCTTGGCCATGTTTGCTCTGTATGTATATTTCTCTGGGAATATATTTCATTTGGCCAACGGGTCTCTCATATGTCTCTGAATGTGAAGCTTCTATTGACTGTAAAAAGTGGAGAAAAGAAAGGTGCCACCAAGGTTGTGAACTCCAATTAGGAAAAAAGTATTTTTGGACTTGACATTGACTCTTAGATAACGCGATTGCTGGAATAAGTAGAGTTAGAAATGTTTCTTTTTTGGGGGCGGGGAGGTATAGACAAGGGGCATGAGATATGACACTAGCAATCCCCAGTTGTAACATGGTATGAGAAAGAATGTTCCCTTACACGGAAGATGCACCCAGCGACCCTGTCTCTCCCTGTCTCATTCTGGGTATACTGGGATTCTGAATGGTCTACAGCTGAGTTTCTCTTTATACTTCCTGGTATACAGGACATGGGAGGTAGAAGGGAGTAGCAGTATTAAGAGCAATATTCAGATTCGAACCACTTTGTCTTCTTGTGTCTGGGTCGCGCCCAGGGTTCTGACTCCATGGGCAATGGGCTTCTCTGGGGACCAGGGGAACTTCATTCAGGATGACTCCATTGCCAGGTAGCAGATGTGTGCTCGCCTCGCTTGAGCACTGTACAGGAGGCTAGCTGCTTCTCTATTGTGCCCAGGAACTCCTTTTAGGTGTCCACATTTTTAGTTCATTTTCCATTTCCATTTGAGCAGATAGGTTTCTTTGTGTTTCGGTTTACAGCTAGGTGTACAGTATCCTTCGTATTTATTCTCAATTTCATAGTCTCACCTGAGCTTACAGGACCCCCAACACACTTTGCCCAAGAGACAGCATTTGTCAAGTGGGAGTGTCCACAGAGGGTTAGTTTCTTCTTGGGACTTTCTCACGTGGACTTGTAGTCATGTTCCCATGTGCAGGACGTTTGGTCCGTGTTATTTTGTGAGGTTTTTGTTCTTGCAGAAAGTAAAATAGGAAGAGTTTGATTTGGGTTAGGATAAAGTACAGTAGAAGGCATCATGCTAGGCGTTGGGAATCCTGAGTTCTGGAGGTGTCTCTGGGACCTCTAGCAAGTCACTTCCTTCAGTGGGAAGTGATGCGATGGGATTAGATTAGCCTCCTCTAATCTATGAGACCTCAGATCTAACCTTACTTGAAGTAGTGGCCAAATGATCAAAACATTGCGTTATACTGTTGGGAAGGGGCAGGGAGAGGTTGTGTTATGTGGTGGGATGCTTCACTCTAATGCAAGAAAGGATTGAAATAAGCTTAGTACTCCCTGTTATCACAGCCGGTTAGTGGAGAGGTTTTCCCATGGTGAGCGTGATCTGTCCCCCCTTGCATCCGCATACATCACGGGGACATGATATCTCACTTTCAGCCCTAGAGCATGTAGCGCTAGAGGCAGGAGGACTGGCTGGAACTCACTGTACCCTGAACTGGTTGGGGACTGGCCGATGGAGGAGACAGGAGGGACATTTCTTGGGGTCTCAAATGGCGATAGCTGTGTTCTACCTTCATCTTCAGGTGAGCAATGGCAGGCGCCGGTGAGCGCAAAGGCAAGAAGGATGATAATGGCATCGGCACAGCCATTGATTTCGTGCTCTCCAATGCCCGGCTGGTGCTGGGGGTGGGTGGAGCAGCCATGCTGGGCATCGCTACGCTGGCGGTTAAGCGGGTAAGTGCCTGCAGCCTGGGCCAGGGGTGGAGAGGTAGGGAAGCCGCCTCTGCAAAGTGAAGCTGACTCGGAACAAGACTTTGATAGTGCCCATGGGCATGGAACTTGGTCATTTGGCATTATTAGATGAGACCTTGAGAGATTCAGTTAAGTCTACTAGGTCTCTGCCCTAAAGAAATCATTGGAGATAAAGAAAATAAAGAAGTTTATCACAGGGAGTAAAAAACTGTAAATAACCAAAAATATCCTTCCTTGACTACCTTATAAGCAACACCCCCACCACACATACACTTCCTATTTCCCTTTCCTACTTAATTTTCTTAACATTTATCTCTGTCTTTATTCTTTATATTTAACTCATTTATGTATTGCCTGGGTCCCTCTACTAGACTGCAGACTCCATGAGGGCAGAGATTGGGTCTCTTTGTTTAGTGGTTTGTTTTATGTACCTAGAACAGTGTCTAGCACATAGCAGCCACTCAGTATTTGTTAAATTAATCACTGTTCATCATTACATTCATAAGGTACAGTGAGTATAGTCAGAAAATGTACCAAATATTAAAGACCGATTCATTTTTAGTGATATGTGGAAATGATGATAAGTAAAAAAGTCAGGTTTCAAAAGTATATATAGTGTAGGATCCTAATTACATAAACTTATTTTTCTAGAAAGAAACCAGAATATTAACATTCCTGGACTGTGATATTATGGATAAATCTATTTCTCATTTATATCATCTAGTATGTCCTGAGCTCTTCTGTATGGAGAGAAGTATTCCATAATCTAGAATATAATAAAGGTATTGAAAAATAGTCGTTTAGAACTCACAAGCGCAAAGCCGCTGGGAAGGAGGGACACAGGAAGGAGGGACACGTGTGGGGTCCTCTCTGCTGTTTCAGATGTACGACAGGGCAATCAGCGCCCCTACCAGCCCCACCCGCCTGAGCCACTCAGGGAAGAGGAGCTGGGAAGAGCCAAACTGGATGGGCTCCCCGCGACTGCTGAACAAGGACATGAAATCAGGCCTGAGCCGTTCCCTGCAGACCCTTCCCACAGACTCCTCGGCCTTTGACACAGGTGAGAAAGCAGGTTGCCCCTCCGGGACCTATCTCTGGCCTCTCACTCCTACTCCCGCATTCAGCAAACATTTCTTGAGTGCTAGGTGCAGGCGCCATGCTAGCACTTGGCTTTTGTGCTAAGCCTTTCTTTCTGGGGCCGCAGCAGCCACGGCCTGATGGGAAGAGCTCACATGCCTCTCTCTCTTGCCTTGGCAGATACATTCTGCCCACCCCGGCCCAAGCCATTGTCCAGGAAGGGCCAGGTAGACTTGAAGAAGTCACGACTCCGCATGTCCCTGCAGGAGAAACTTCTTTCTTACTACCGGAACCGGGCCGCCATCCCTGCCGGTGAGCAGGCTCGGGCCAAGCAAGCTGCTGTGGACATATGTGCCGAGCTCCGGGGCTTCCTGCGGGCCAAGCTGCCTGACATGCCACTTCGGGACATGTACCTCAGTGGCAGCCTCTATGATGACCTGCAGGTAACAAGGTGGTGCTCACGAAGGGTGGGCCTGGGTACTGACCAGGGTGCTTCTTGATCCTGCTGTTGGTACAGAGATCACTGTCCCAGGCTTGCAAAAAGACTGAACTCTGCGCACTGCAGGAACTTTTTCGAGATCCCTGTCTTGAGTCTTCTTTAACCCTTTCTTGTATTTTAGTCATACGACTTCTAGGAAACCATAAGAGGCGACCTCCTTCCTGTAGTCTTGTTCGTCTCCTTTCTCTCTTGGGTCTTCAAGGCTTCAGGGATGTCCTGTGTACTTATGTGTCCAGGGATGACGTGACACGTGGAATGAGCATGGGCTCTGGTGTCCGATGGACCTGGGTTTAAATCCTCACTCTACCTGAATTGCTATAGTGACAGGAAAGAATTCTTAGTTGGTGGGACCTGTGCGGGGGAAGCTTGTCTCTTGAGAAGATTAAATCCCTCAAAACCTTTTTAATTTGCTCCAACAGGTGGTGACAGCTGACCACATCCAACTCATTGTGCCCCTCGTGCTGGAGCAGAACTTGTGGTCGTGTATCCCTGGCGAGGACACCATCATGAATGTCCCTGGCTTCTTCCTGGTTCGTCGTGAGAATCCAGAGTACTTTCCTCGCGGGAGTAGTTACTGGGACCGCTGTGTAGTAGGGGGCTACCTCTCCCCAAAGACAGTGGCAGACACGTTTGAGAAGGTAGTGGCCGGCTCCATCAATTGGCCGGCCATAGGGTCTCTCTTGGACTATGTGATCCGACCGGCACCACTCCCAGAGGCCCTGACTCTGGAAGTGCAGTATGAGCGTGACAAACATCTCGTCATTGACTTCCTGCCATCAGTGACCCTCGGTGACACTGTCTTGGTGGCCAGACCACATCGGCTAGCCCAGTATGACAACCTGTGGCGGCTGAGCCTGCGTCCCGCTGAGACGGCTCGCCTGCGGGCTTTGGACCAGGCCGACTCGGGCTGCCGATCTCTGTGCCTCAAGATCCTCAAGGCCATATGCAAGTCCACCCCGGCTCTGGGCCACCTCACTGCCAGCCAGCTCACCAATGTCATCCTCCACTTGGCCCAGGAGGAGGCTGACTGGTCTCCAGATATGCTGGCTGACCGATTCCTGCAGGCCTTGAGGGGACTCATCAGGTACCTGGAGGCTGGAGTCCTGCCCAGTGCCCTAAACCCCAAGGTGAACTTATTTGCAGAGCTCACCCCTGAAGAAATAGATGAATTGGGATACACTCTCTACTGCTCATTATCCGAGCCGGAGGTGCTGCTGCAGACGTAGGGCAGGCGGAGGCCAAAGTGGGTGTTGGGTGGTCAGGCCCTGGATTCTCTGTTAGAAACACTTGGCTACATAGTTGGTGCCTCACAGTGTCCCTAGGTGCCTCCTGTCTTGCTGGTCATCACCCTGGTCACTTCATGCTGATTAGAATGACATCTCTTAATCTCCTATTTTCTCAAACCCAACCCTTTCTATTTTTGTTACCAAACACTGTGCTCCCTACTCCTCCCCTCCCCCTTACTCTAGGCTAATTTTTCTGGAATGAATTGAGAAGGTGGAGCACTAGCCAGAGCTGTTGAGACCACTTGATGTTTTGCATGTGGCCCAGGTTTTCTGCTCCCATCTGTCCCCCCTGCCTTGTCCTTTGGCCTGTTCCGCTTCGGCGTCTTCTCTTTTTCTCTTGTTTTCACGCTTTCTGTTTTGCTCCTTTCCTGGAGTACACCCGCCTAACTAATCAAGGTGTTGCCTTTTAGTTGAATGTCACTGAAGTTACGATTGCATGTTTCCAAGCTGAACTCGGCAGAGTGCTCAGACAGTATTTAGGGTTTCTGCGGGTAAAGTGGTGGAAGGACTGGCCTTTGACTCAGGTTCCTGGAGAAGCAGCCCATCCCCCCACCTCCTGGCCAGCTCACATCCCTAAGTGCTGAGAAGGTCTTTCATGGGAACATTGTTACTGACCCACGCGGAGCTGAGCGCTCAAGATAAACTGGATGCGAAATTATTTGGAGATTGTGTTTCTTAGTGGCCATGAGTGAGAGTGCAGCCTGGGGGAACCAGAAGCGGTAAGGGGACCTGGGAGAGGATGTGTCCTGTCTGATGTCTGCACCTCACCCGGACCAATGCTGCTGTGTGCAGGAGTCAGATGAGGGAGGGAAGGGGCTGCAGGGGCCGCATCTCTGCAGGAGTGCTTCGCTCACCCGCTTCCTTGCCTTCTTGCCAATTAGGACGGGGTCTTCAGGGACACTGCCTTAGAGGTAGAGGTCATAGGAACGTTGACAGGTGGCAGAAAATCGTCACCAGTTGGGGTTTGGTGGCCATATTCTCCCCTGTGAGGCACTTTGTTTCTGGGACGTTGCCTTAGAGCAGGGACAGGCCCAACGGTCTGCCATAGCAACGTGAGAGGGCTGCTTGCCGAACTCACCGGGCACCTCCAGAGGCCAGAGGGCAAGCACACATGCGCAGACTCACCGCCCCCCACCCCCAAGTCCTGTCTCACACACCTAGGATCGGTGCTGCCTGGGAAGAGAGTGCGTGGATTCAACACACACGCAGGGAGGTGGGGACTCTACCTTCTTGTTTCTGGCTGCTAAAATTGCACTATGTATTACAATGTAAAAAGTATCCTGAAGGTGGGGAGGAGTGTTTAGTACACCATGCCAGGGCATCTTCTTTTGTGGGGTTTTTTTCTCTTCGTGGCAAGAGCCTGATGATAATTCTGTTTCTCATCTGCCCATCCAGTATTTCGTTCTCCATCCATCAAGTCTTACTATTTTTTCTGTTCTTACTACCTCCATCAGTAAGATTCTGGTGAAGCTCTCTGCAGCTGTCTCATTCCTTCCCAATGACAACAACATGAAATGACTCTTTAAATAGCATTGAAACCTCAGCTACCCTCTGAATTTAGGGTAGAGATTCCTGTCTCCTTTTTGTCATGGATTAGGAGGTTGAGAACTGGAGTTAACCTCAGCCATATTTGGAGAATCTTCTTGCCTCCTCTCATGTATGCAAGGGATCCTTAAAGTGGTTCAGTTGTTTCATTTGCATGAGGTATTGAGAAAGAATTGAAAAATATAAAGCCCAAAACCCTGACACAGATTCTGCACCCTGGCTGTTCATTAGAACCAAATTGGAGTTTTCAAAAAATCTA